ATTATTATTATTATTATTATGTCATAATAATAAACGGAGTAGACTCGATGCATGCCCGAGCGCCACGCGCGAGGGTAAAAATTTCAACACGCGTTTTTGGGCTGCTATGGTCATGCACATATTATTAGCACTGATGAAGATCCGTGCTTACGGATCGAAAGCTTTGCAGTAATAAATTTACGTGGTGTTTCCACAAACAAAACTATTATATATTTTATCGCCATGCAAACATACAAAGAACTTATAACAAAAATATAGTTTAATTAAAATATTTATTCGAAAGCTAACGTTTCGTCTCTTAAGACATCTTCAGAACAATGCATTCCAAGCGGAAAACATAGAAATATGAATAAATTACAACTATCTACAAGATATTATATTACAAAAGTAGAAAGAGGACATCAGAGTAGAAGTAGAGGGACCGAGCTGACTTGTAAATTGAGAGAGGGTTTAAACCTGTTATACGATTTTCTCGAATGAGGAGTTCGTCTGGAGAATTGAATTGAATTGATTTAATGACTACTGACTTTGTAACCCAAAAAGGTTAAATTACACCAGTATTACATAAATTAAGAGGATAAGTTAAAATTACATAATAATTACATATTTAAGATTATTTACATTTCTAAAAACTTATTTACTGTTAATCTTTAATATACTTTGAGGTAAAAACGAATTCTTAAAACGTTCGGTTCTGCAAACATAATTATGATATTTACATATCGGTCTTAGATCATATCCAGATAAAACTGTTTGTGGTAAAAGATCTTTGAGATTTTCATTGTCAATATTCTTCTCAAAGAAATGTTCGCATAATTTTTCTCGTCGATCTCTCAGTGACGTGATGTTAGTCGTGATCAGCGCTTCGTCGTACTTTTGCGATGGGAGGATTATTCTCAACGCGCGTTTTTGTATTTTTTCAATATCGTCACATAAATATTGTTGGATATTGTAATGCCAGACCTGGCATGCGTACTCTAAAACAGGCCTAATAATGGTAGTATATACAGTAATTAACGTGTCAATACACGCGTTGGACCTTTTTAGCAGTCTTAGCATATAGAGCCTCTTGCTAGCTTTTTTAACTATGTTATTTATATGTTCATTCCACTTCATGTTATCTTGGACTGTGAGGCCAAGGATACGGGCAGATTTCTCTCGTTCAATATTAACTTTATCGACTGTTAAAAGGGGAAAGCAATGCTTCTTTTTTGCAAAATCAATAACCAGTTCTTTGCATTTTCCAATGTTTAATTTCATATTATTACTCGTAGTCCAATTATTGATGTAATTAACCAAGGGCAACAAGAAATAATCTTAAAATCATTAAGAGAGGTGGTGTGGCCAGTATTATCAAGTTGGGAAAGGATACTAGACACGGCCGGATTGCTGCTTTTACTGCCCGTTAAAGGAGAAACACCCATGTGTTCATGTCAGATACTCGTGTGTGCAAGTGACGGACCGTTTGGCCCAAATACGTCGCGGAACAGCAACGACACTTGAAGGAATATTACAACACAAGATCTTAAAGCCAGGAATTTTATCCTTAAAGGTGAAGAGTTGAGACAAATGTAAAGTTCGACGAAAAAGGAATCTATACAGTAACATTAAGATGGGGAAAGGCCGAGGAACAAAGACGGGAGATTTGGGTGCAAAGTTGAAGAGAGTCATGAACGCCAGTATAAGGGAAGAGAAATTTAGGACTTTCGTAGGAGCAGAATGAACTGCTGGTTTGGGTTGAGACACATTTTCTAAAGAGACGAGTTGGATAACAATTCTTATTAAGAATCTGGGGGCATATATATAGTTTTAACTGAGCGTGAAAGTTCTCATAATTGGAGCAAAGACTAACGAAACGATGTATAGGAGAAGAAACTAAGCTACGTTTATATTTAAAAGGGATAAAACTACGGAAGTTAGATGGAAGTTTCCAAAACACCATTCTTACGAAAAATGCTGATATCAAGAAAGGGAAGCGTGGAACTATAGATTCAACTTCACTGGTAAATTTAATATTAGGGTGTTGGCGATTTTAATAAGAGAAAAGTTGAGGTATATGATCACCAGACTGGAAAATCAAGAAGCAGCCATCAACATAGCGGCGGTACAATAATGGCTTAAAGTTGACAGGACAGTTCTTTAATTTAACCAGTTACACTCGTAAAAGTCCAGGAATATATTGGCGAATAAACGACCTAAGGGTGACCTCGTCAATCTGTTGAAACAAAACCCCATTAATTTAAACAAAAAAGAGCAGTTTTTCACAGCAAGACTAAGAAGTTTCTTAAATTCCAATTGAGTCAAACCATGAAAGCGAACAGCATTAGAGAATAAGCGGTTTGAAATTGTATCAATGGTTTCATCTAGAGGAATATTGGTAAATAAGGAAGTGACATCAAAGCTTGCCTTGACAACGTTGTTGGAATCGTGATTGAGGGCTGAGTAATCCTGGACAAACGAGCAAAAATCCTTAACTATACAAGCACTTGAAGAAATGGGATTGAGGACCCTAGAGGAATATTGGTAAATAAGGAAGTGACATCAAAGCTTGCCTTGACAACGTTGTTGGAATCGAGATTGAGGCTGAGTAATTCCTTGACAAACGAGCAAAAATCCTTAACTATATAAGCACTTGAAGAAATGGGATTGAGGACCCTCGTGATTATTTCTTGTTGCTCTTCACCAGACAAACTCCTCATTCGAGAAAGTCTTCTCATTAACAAACTTAAACCCTCTCTCAATTTACAAGGCAGTTCGGTCCCTCTACTTCTACTCTGATTCACTCTTATTTCTACTTTTGTAATATAATATTTTGTGAATATTTTGTGAATAGTTGTAAGTTATTCATATTTCTATGTTTTTCGCTTTGTATGTCATTGCTTTGAAGATGTCTTAAGTTAAAGACGAAGCGTTAGCTTTCGAATAAATATTTTAAACTATATATACTGTTGTACGTTATGGTTATTTTACGTATTTTCTGCTATATATACTGTTGTTATGGTTCTTTTACGTGTTTTCTTTCCTATTTATCCTAAGATTACGGTTTTCGCCTGGTTCATCTATCTCAAGTGTCTTAATTGTTACTTTTAGTGTTTTTCAATAACTAATTGACTCGTACATTTTACAATTACACCAACTCAGAACAAATCATGATTACTAGATTACATTGATATCGAAGGAACTAGATTTTGTTCCGAAATATCACATACTCGAACCGACCTGACCGTGTAACTCAGTTGGCAGAGCATTGGGCTAGATCCAAAGATCGTAGGTTCGATTCCCACCGTGGGCAGGCATAATTTTCAAGCTTGCCAGGTGTGGATATACACTCAGAGTAGCATCACAAACATCATATTCACTTGAGTACATTGCACCAACACAGAAAAAAAATTGACTGTCCAAAAACTAAATCTGTAATTTTTGCCACCCTAAAAAATTCCGGGCAAAAGAAAGTTAATTATTAGAAAGTTAACTAATATACTCGCAACTCGCACTTTAGTTAATCTCTCTTTTTGCTTCATACCTTGACATACCGGTTTATCAGCGGTTGATAACATATTATTCACCGCACTATATTTAAGAAAGCTTCAGATTGATTAGGATACAACTACTTGAAAAATACAAGGATAACTTTGACGTTTTGAGCGAAGGCCCTTCTTCGGGAGTTAGGTAGGAAATTGTTTAGATATAGTTGCATCTCTATTGGCACTACCTACACTGGCACAGACTTTTCAAGAAAAGCACTATTTTTATTCAGAAGCGTTTCCACAGAGGTTTGGGGTGGGGTGAAGAGATCTGGGAACCCCCACTTTCCTTTAAGAACAATTTCAAAATTGAGAAGAAACTGTGGGATAGGGGCGCAACCTCTTAATATTTTTTTTATGTATGACAACGAAAATACAAAATCTGTGGCTTTCGGATTATCACAAAAATGTGTCTAAAATGCGTGTTTGGATTATCATAAAAATGTGTCTGAAATGTTGTAGGGACCAAGCCCCGACAGCAGGACAATGGTATATACACGCATAAAAACGCGCAAGTAGTTACAGTTCTGCAAACGTACAAGTTGCTACAATTAATCTGTTCAAAAGTTGTGTTTGGACTGCTTGTTTCCAATTTTTGTAACAAGTTTGTAACAAACTGTTAACAACTTACCGTAAACCTCCGAATATAAGCTCCCTATGTACAAGACCATCACATGTGCTAATGCTCACCTCATTCAAATATAATCCACCCCCCCCCTCGAATATAAACCTCCCGAATAAATATAAGTTCCCCCAATACGAGCCCAGTAGCCCACTACGTTATTCAACATTAACATTGTCTTTTAATATAGCAGAGAACAATATTTAAAACAATGTCATTGTCTTTATAGCTTACTATATTAATCACAGCGCGTTATATACATGTTTATTTTCCTGTTTATAACTGACTTGTTTAGTACTAACACAAAATATCATCCATGTATAATCCCCGTATATAAGCCCCCTTTGTATAAGCTCATCAAAAATTACTTACGAAAGAATATAATCCCAAGGCTTATAGTTGGAGGTTTACGGTATAACAAGCTTCGTGGCATTGTTAGACTTGTTACAAGGTTGTTCTAACATGTCAGACGCAGTCATGACATAACAAGAATGTTACAAAGTTGACGACACAAGGTTGCAGCAATATTGTTATATCATGATAACAGTCACTGTTTTTAACTTCAGGGATTGATCCAGCATGATCTGGTCGGGGAGGGCGTTGGTGGTGCTCTGCCAGCATTGGTGCCGAGCTGTGTCGGTCATGTGTGTCGCTCGGCCGTCAACTTGCTTGACTACTGCAAAGTCTTGTTGATTATTGACTACTGTATCTGAATTGTGATTGTTGTTCACAGTTCCCTTATCGTCATGCTATCACTCAAATTAGTGTATCTCATTTTTCTCTTATATTATTTTGCTTTATCATGAAAAATAGCACACACACCCCTCCTCCCAAGTCCTAAGATAAATCGAATTATGTTACTGAATATTGGAAAATCATGGTTTCTCTGTAATATAGGTCCGGTCGAGTTGGCGATCCTTCTTGACCAATCCGGAGAGTTAAAGAATTTGAACAATTTCAACATGATGAAAAGTTTCATCAAAAAGCTCACACGAGAATTTGAGCTGGGCAACAAGAAGACAAAAATTGGTATAATATCGTTTACAGACACCAACCTACAACTATTCGACCTTCATTCATATCATGAAGGCAAAAATATAGACGCTCAGATTGATAGGTTAAATTACGAAGGCATTAAGGCAAATTCTGGTGCTTTAAATAAGGCTTTGGATGCTGCACAAGCAAATTTGTTTACCGGAGTACGGGAACTTAGCGTACCGAGGCTCTTGCTTGTGTTCGATACCGCTGCGAAGAAAAATGGCGAGACCGAAGCTAAAGGTATGTACGAAATATATTTGTGTGGGTTTTTACATATGGAATTTTTTGAACGTAAATCTATTTATATTTTAGCAGAGGCAGATCTAACCTTATCTGCATAGAGTGGTTTTCCATACTGCCCACTCTTCTCTGCAGTCCAGGAGTAGAAGCTCTGCTAATCGCTATTCGAAAAGCAGAAAATATATGGTCAAACAGAATGTTTATAGTGGTGCTGGACTTCCCTAGGTGGACACCACTAAGTGGGGTGCGCAACCACATATTATAGTCCCCTCGGTAGATCCGTCCCCGCATTTTACACCTACATGAAAACAGGAACAGTTGCGGAAAATGCAACCATATTTCCTCTGTCATTTTCTAGTTTTGTTCTATTTCAAGATGCGCAATTAAAAATTGCACCAAAACAATCGCATTTAAGGTTCGCAAGATATAGTCATAACTATTCTCTTAATAGTCATGCATATAGTTTAATGGTCATGCCTATAGTGTTACTTGTCATGACTATAGTCTTAATAGTCATGACTATGGTCATGATTTATTAATAGTCATAATTATAGTGTGAATAGTTATGACTATAGTCTTAATACTCATGACCATAGTCTTAATGGTTATGACTATAGTCTTAATATTCATGAATACAGTCTTAATAGTCATGACTATAGTGATGACTATATTCCAAAAGTTATGACCACAGTCAATGGTCATTACTATAGTCTTAATAGTCATTACTATAGTTTTAATAGTCATGACTATAGTCTTAATAGTCATGACTATAGTCTTAATAGCCATGTCTTAAGATACTACATGATATCCTCTAAGATACTACTGCTTGATAGCCGAAGATATTGTGTGATTATCCTAAGATATTGCATAATGTCCTAAGACATTAAATATCGTAATGATATCTTAAGACACTCTATGATATCCTAAGATATTGTGTGATATCCTAAGATACTGATATCCTAAAATTCTGTACGATATCCTAAGATACTTTATGATATCCTAATTAAGATATTGTATGATATCCTAAGATGTTGTCAACCTCGTACCCAGGGCTTTTTTATTCCGCGGTTGGATGGTCAGCAAAAAAGGCCCTGGCTTCGGTTTGTCTGTTTTGCAATCTGATTGATAAATGATTTTGAATGTAATTATTCAATATGTGTGGGAATAATTACTATTTTGGTGGAACGAGAGTGGAGTTACAAATTTATAATTAGTTCTTGAAGGACTAAAGTATTGAGTAAATAGGATTTTTTACATTTTGCTTGAGATACAGCATGAATTAGGAAAAGACAATACATCACAAAGCAATTTGGTCCAAATTAAGTACATTTCTCACATGCGTTGTTTACACATGGTTGATTTCAAGAAACGTACAGCATTATAGTCAAATAAAGATTGTGATACAAATATATTAGCTCATAACATGATTTATATAAACCAAACGCTGAAGGAGTTTTTTGTTTAGCTATTCATTAAGAATTGAATCACAGGCTAACCAGGCTCTGAATATGTTTAAAAGTCGTCAATATTACGGGCTATGTTGCTGAATGAGGAGTAAACATAGAAATAATAGATATCATTCCCCCTCTGCAAACCGTTACACGGCCAGTATAAATTTGAACGCAATCACGAAAAAACATTTAAAAAACATCGCCAACGCAATGCAACTCATTGTAGGAGCAGACTGTTTTGCTCCTAAAATTTACTGCCATTGAGTTCGCTGTCAGAAAAAAAAGTCAAGGAAAACCGCTCTGTCTGGAGAAAAAATATATATTATTTCTATGGGTGTAAACAACGAAAACGGAATAAAGTCAACTTATTTTGTTGCTTTCTCTTTGATTATATACGTTTGATTACATTGAGTTTGTTTACTCCTGTCAGTAATTACAATGTGTATAATTATTCTGGAGATTTTGAGGTCTTGTGACCGGCCGATGCCAGGGGCATTTTCGCTGACCGGAAGCAAAATGCCTTGGGTACGAGGTTGAGATATTGTATGATATCCTATTGTATGATATTCTAAGCAATCTTAAATTAATAGTCATGACTATAGTCTTAATACAAGGAAGCACATCTTAAAATATTATTCGGTATCTTAGGATATCTTTAGAATATTAAGACTATAGCGACTATAGTCATGATTATTAAGACTATAGTCATAACTATTAAGACTATAATCATGACTATTAAGACTATAATCATGACTATTAAGACCATAGACATGACAATTAAGCCATAGTCATGACTAATGACACTAGTCATGACTAGTAACACTATAGTCATGAACATTAAGACTATAGTCCTGACTATTAAGATTATAGTTATGACTATTAAAATATAGTCATGACTATTAAGTGCTGTTTAATAAACGAGCAGGAGTATTTTATTATGTTTAAAGACACGAGCGCGCAGCGCGAGTGGCTTTAGACATAATAAAACACGACCTGCGAGTTTATTAAACGGCTTCAAACACGACTACAAATTCAATAGATATTCTGCGTATTAGTATTCTTTAAATAAAGAATACTAATTAGAAGTGTTTTATCAGGTTTAAAGCCACTGCACGTGATATATTATGGTTAACATGATTTGCCAATAAGCTTATGAATTATTTATGACTGTTTGAAGTACTGTTTAATAAACGAGCAGGAGTGTTTTATTAGGTTTAAAGCCACGAGCGCGCAGCGCGAGTGGCTTTAGACCTAATAAAACACGACTGCGAGTTTATTAAACGGCTTCAAACACGACTACAAATTCAATAGATATACTGCCTATTAGTATTCTTTATATAAAGAATACTAATGAGGACACGACTACAATAGATACTGCCTTATTAGTATTCTTTACATAAAGAATACTAATTAGGAGTGTTTTATCAGGTTTAAAGCCACTGCACGTGACATATTATGGTTGACATGATTTGTCAATAAGCTTATGAATTATTAATGAGTGTTTGAAGTACTGTTTAATAAACGAGCAGGAGTGTTTTCTTAGGTTTAAAGCCACGAGCGCGCAACGCGAGTGGCTTTAACAAGGCAATTTTCCATTTCAATCGCTTTGCCCGCGCGGGCGGAGCGGGCTTTGAAAATCTGCTCACGCGGGCGTGACGGGCTTCAAAAACAATGACTCTCCGCCCGCGCGGGCAAAGCGACTGCAATGGAAAATTGCCTTTAGACCTAATAAAACACGTGCACGACGTGCGAGTTTATTAAACGGCTTCAAACACGACTACAAATTCAATAGATATACTGCCTTATTAGTATTCTTTATATAAAGAATACTAATGAGGACGCGACTGCAATAGATATTGCCTTATTAGTGTTCTTTATATAAAGAATACTAATTAAGAGTGTTTCAGCAGGTTTAAAGCCACTGCACGTGACATATTATGGTTGACATGATTTGCCAATAAGCTTATGAATTATTAATGATGTTTGAATACTATATAAGTAGGCTCCAGGCTAGACTTGATACGATATATAAATCAAGCTGGGGTCCGATTTAGACTTGCCTCCGAGTAAGGCTCAATATTTCGAGCTAGGCTTCGAGCTGCATAGAAATTTTCCCACCCGCCAAAAAGAACGCCTGCTTTTTAAATCTTGCGAGCTGGGTTCGAACCAACGACCTAAGGAACTACAGTCCTCCGCTCTCCAAAAGACACGTAAACGATACGCTCTTAGAAATAGACCGTTCTAAATTTTGTAAAACATTTTGAAATGTATTTCAAATCAAAATTCTTGTGCATACTTGTTCCCGCAAACCACTGGTCGGATTTTAAGGTCTACGCCTGGGTAATAAATATTCCCTATCTATTCATAATAAACACTTAATTAATTAAACCGCCCACCACATGTGGATACATTTTTTTTATTTCCCCTGCATGGCCAAGCGAAATATAAAGGGAACATATTTTTCGTTACGGTTGCGAGTTTTGCGAGATATATCGAATTTGTGTCTAGATATGTTGTGGATATCGGAAATGAATACCGCCAAAGTCATTAACAGTCGTTAAAGGATTACAAACTAAAATTTAATTTATTAACTTATTCTCACTTTTTAATGACTGTGTAATATGCAAATATGGACTTTAACAACGTTATTGACAACCATGTTAACTTGTGCTTAGCAGTACAACTGCTAAGTTCTGTTTAAAATATTTTCCGATTATTTTTAAACTTATTACTCAAAACGACTCTTTTAAGAGTCACCAAATTCATTAATTAAAAGTATTAAAACGAATTTCGATTGCGTGTTGAAAATAAATTTGCGTATTCTTAAATAAAACGCTTACGAAATTATACCGACGCTTAACTATTGTCATTAAATGGCAATGGGACGCGAAAAATTGCTGAGCACAGAAAAAAATATTGACTGTTACATAGCCTGGACATGCCCACGACCGCCCGTAATAATATCATCTATATCCATTAAGATCCTTATTGGTTATGCCAACTCGTATTGCCTTAATCCCCTTAATTACCTCAATCCAGAAATAAACTAAAACACTGTCGCTGAACAAACGGCAAGGTAGTGGCCGGAAATAAGGTAAAAACTGTAGATAAACAAACGGTGGCGGCTGAAAAATGTCAAGTAAGCTTAAATAAATTAACGTGAGTGTGAATAAATTAAAATATTTAAGAAATAATGACGTCATTGATTGCGCTAAGTGCACCGCCCGCCGCAGAACCCCTCTTCCCTATACTATTAACTGGCCTCTGTATCTCAGTTAGTTTAAGCGCTGCACCGGAATTGTAGAGCCGCCCGTTCGATTCTTGCTAAAGGGCCTATAGTTGCATTTTTCGCAACTTCTCATAGTTTGGTCTATATAAATGTATAAAATTGACAATCAAGATTTCCATCTACAGTCTCTCTAGTTATTTTTATTTTTATTTTATGAAGTGTTCAAGCTGCAGGAAACCGATGTCCAAACGTTTTGCATTGGTCTGGGAACAAGCTATGATAAAACTGGGTGTAGCAAGATGGTGGAGAAACCTTATAAGAGTCATAGTCTGTCGGCACAGGTTGGGCATTTGGGTGAATTAGAGGAGGCTATTATGCTCATGATCATCAAAGGTAAGTCTAGCATAAAACAATTATAAGCCCAGAAAGTGTATGTCCAGCTATATCCCACAATAATTTTGTTTAAAGTGACCAGGTGTATAAAAAATTAATGAAGATTCTTGCCTATGATTATTCTATTGCAAAAGAACAATCGCAGTACACAAAGACGTAACGGACCAGTCGAGCATTACTCTACTAACACTGTAGAAGCCCAAAACACTTTCAAAACTAATATGTTCTAATATAAAAAAAACTAAAATCAACTGATATGGTTAGTGGAACACGAAGTGGTTAGCGCACTTGCCTTGCACCTCTAAGGTCGCAGGTTCAAATCTCAATGCGAACTTTTTTGAACTTTCAATGAGACTCGAACCCAGCCCCCATGTGAAAAGGGTAAAGGTCGACGCTCTGCTAAAAGTCGTGGGTTTTCTCTAGGTTCTCAGGTTTCCTCCCACAGGGAAAGTTGACAGGGTGGGTGACAAGACCCACAATAATTCTGCGAACGGGCATACTCTGGGTACGAGATTGACACTAGTTGGTATATGCTGTCGCGGGGGCCATGTTCTAGTTGGAAAAGCTAAATAAACAAATATAAAATGTTTCACCTTTTAAAACTGATCAACAATTACAACCTGTTGACGGATGGAAGTACACTTTCGTATGTACTTCACGGGTGGGGCAAGTTTCCGGACAAAATTCGGAACATCTGGCGCGCGGAAATAAAAAAGGTGCCAGAACCGGTATATTTTCACTACTAATCCCCGTTGGCATAACGGCAAAAACATCTCTTCCTTCAAATAGACAATAAACAGTCTGTTTTATTTCCATTTTTAATCGAAAAAGTGATCAGATCCAATTTTAAGTTTATCGAAAGCCTTTGTGATGAATCACTGATCTAATTATAGAATCCAACAGCAAACAGCCAATCAGAATTCTGCGTTCGTTTGCAAACGCGACAAAGACAAAGTACTCGGTCTTCCTTGCAGGCCCACTATTCTTCCCTCGGTCGGCCTGCACGCAGGCTACTGATCAAAAATAGCCGAATTTTATAGTAAAATGAAAAATACAGTCAGTGCAGCATAAGAATATCTAACCTTAAAAGTTACATTAAACCTAAAATATATGTAGGAACATAATTATATGTGTATGTTTCAAAATTATCATGGCAAATAGCTGGGAAAATAATGATTCGTACAATAGTTTCCTTCGCGCCATAATGATTATCACGCGGTCTATTCCCGCCATCCGCGATAGAATATAGCAAAAGTATCTCATTTTCAAACCGCGATTACTAGTCAATTTCGTCGAGCTCTTTATTTTAAGTTTTAAAGTAGTAATTGAAAGAATAAACTTTTCTTAATTCAATGACGTGTTTTATTTTAATTTCCCCTCAAAAAAATTAATATAGCTTCTGCATTTTTTGAAAGCAACTTTTGTGGCGGGCCCACTGACCCGAATCAAGCATAAGTACAATACGTGATTAACATAACTAAAAAATAATTCCTGTACCAAACAAGTCAAATTGATTAGGTTCTTAAATAATATAAATATAAAACATACCTTCGAAAAATAGAGATATACGGAGCCAAAATCGCAATGTATTTCAACAACTTTTCTCCAAATTTCTTTGAAAATCGTAATTGTGACTATAATGATGCAATGCATTGTGAGAAGACCCTAATTGCTCCTCTGATCTCAACCTTGTATGCAATGATAGTATAGCCAACCGAGCATGCAATTATTAGTATATATTATATATAGTACCAACACTGTAACCAATTTCCAAAACCATGTACGGTGATGGGTGTATGTGGTCAGTAGCATGAAAAATAATTGTAGTTGTAATATTAGTACGAGCTGCTCTAGTTAGACTTTGAGTTTACAGTAACTGTTGAGGTGCATAGGTCCAGAGGCGTAGCCATGGGGTCATGAGTTTCTCACTCCCGCTCTACTGTACTTTAGGACCAATTTTTTAATTCGTTTTAAACTGAGGAGAAACTTGTGGGGGAGGCGTACTGTAACCTCTTAATGTTTTTTTATCTGTGACATAAAATACACCAAATATGTGGCTCAGTTGTAGATTTGAAAGTTCAAGTTTTGATTAGGGTTTGATTAGAGTCAGATCAAGATTAGATTAGGGTTCAGCAAACGAACTCTGCGTACATGAGACACAGCGTTCACACAGCGTAGCCATAAGTTTTTAGTCGGTGCGATATAATTCTAATATATGCATATGTTTTTCAGATATTGCAGGAAAGTACTGCCCATTCTGTGCGCAAGGTAAGCTAAGGAATATGTTCTCACATTGGTATGCGTTGCATGTATGTTTGTGTGTTTTTTTCTCAGGGGGATTAATAGGTATAGATCTTTGGGATATAATTATCCCAAATTCCTACAACTAATTGTAATTCGAGTTCAGATTTGCAATAGCGCTGTATGTAAGCCTAGCTATTACCCAGAAGGCTTTGGATTGATAGGTACCCCACCCCTTTATAGTTTATGCACGTTGCATAACCTAAACAGTAAACGAGAATGTTCTTTATTTCTTTTTCAGTCATCATTTAACACGATAATGATTTCTGTAATCTTTACTTAATCGCGTTGTTCATGCTCCATAGCAAATTAATTGGTAAAATCTTGTTTGTCTGATTCAAACTCTGTCCAGAACATTTTCACTTGAGTGTTTTCAGTTTGTTGATTTTATGTACAGTTGTTATTAATTAGAGAGCTTTCCAGAGAGTTTGACTAATGGTCGAGGGTCGAGCGTAATAGGTCGAGGGCGAGGGTAGAATGTCGAGGGTCGAAAAAAATGTCGAGGGTCGAAAAAAAATGTCGAGAGTCAATTTTTTGACTCTATGATTTGTTCGCAAATTTTTAGTAACAGAATCAAAACTTACCATTACGCACACGTATCACACTTAATTAACTTGCTTTTGCCCAACGTCAATGTTTTATCCCTATTATGGAATTGGCGCAGAGTAAGTATGCTTCGCTATTAAACGCAAAGTTTAGTTTGAACAAACAGATATGTTTTATACGCCGATGTATACTAAGTAACGAATAAACCCTAATTTGATCATTATCAACATTATGAAGTTAACTGATCAAATTTCGATCTCTGCAGTCAAAAAGCGCCGCTTCACATGCCATTTGATAAACATAACATAACACTTTGCGACCTTTGTGCACTCATGATTTCAGCAATCATTACGATCCACAAAAGCGATATATAGTACTGTATAGCTATGTTTCCCGCATGATCTAGAAACCCACGACTAAACGCTAATGTCGTACAAAATAATTTGTAAAGCCGTGATTTTCTAACTATCAATATTTTCTGCATCGTGGCAAACGTTGACAGACAGCCAATTGTCTTATGTGCATGCCTACGGCAGCAAACATTTTTCGCACAGTCACAGATAATTTTACAACTCATCTGAAGTATATATGCGACTGGGGCTTCCCGAGGCAATACAGTCACATTTTTATGACATCATCAAACTAAATCTCAGGATCAAAGAAAATTGCTATACTTACATCATAACGGTTACTCTCCAAGTACTCAAACACTATATTCTGCACAGTCCTGGAAGACAACCCCAACTGAAAGCCAGCAGCCGAATAAACACATAGCCCATCATCGCCGGGAGGATTATACGAAATATTTAGTCCAGCCTCTTCTATTCTGCTCTGAAGTACTTCCATTTCACACAAGTTTTATACCTTACAGCAATGCGGCAACTGAAGACGTTTTTAAGCTCGTCTGCACGTGCATGTATGCGTTAACCAAAGTTTAATCGCAAGTAAGGTTCGAATGACAATTTCTCGCGGCAAGTTTTGATCCAGAACTGAAAGCAAATCCCGACATCCGGGGTGACACTTCGACCTGTCAGTGTTATTTTTCATTTTGCTGCGAATTTGTTGCGCCGATGAGGCATAACTAACCCAGGAAAATATCACTATTAATAAAAATGAATGTTGAAATATTTTCCGGTTTTATATTCCCCCAAAAGGATTATTACTCCAAGACAATTGCTGGTCAAAAACAAAATACAAAGGAGGCTTGGAAAACAATAAACAACTTACTAGGCAGACAAAACAAACCAACAAAAGTAAATGAGTTGAGTATAAGTGGAAATAATTTAACAAATTCAGAAGACATTGCAGAGGGCTTTAACGAATTCTTTTCAAATATTGGGCCTGACTTAGCTAGCAAAATTGATACTTCGAATCACAATTTTCAAGAGTATATTAAGAAACCTAAATCAGAATTCACTGTATTTGAGTCAATTACCACCAACAAAGTTTATTATCTCCTACGTGGCCTCTCTAGTGCAAAAGCCACTGGCATTGACAAAATTTCTAGTAAAATTTTAAAACTAGCAGCACCTGCTATCTCCAGTTCATTAACTTATATTTTTAATCAGGCTATTACACTATGCACTTTTCCCGATGAATGGAAAATGGCAAGAGTATCACCTCTTTATAAAAATGGCCAAAAAATTTGCCTGGTAACTACCGACCAATTTCTGTTTTGCCAGCTGTTAGCAAAGTTATGGAAAGAATTTTATATGACCAACTATATGATTATTTGACGAAATTTCAGCTACTTAATGATTGTCAATTTGGCTTTCGCAAATCTCACTCAACTGCTACAGCGTTACTAGACTGTACTAATAGTTGGTATATGAATATTGACAAAAAATTATTTAACTTGGTTGTACTAATTGACTTAAAAAGGGCATTTGATACTGTCGACCACCAGATTTTACTAAAAAAACTCGAAATTTATGGCGTAAAAGGAGATGCTTTGGCTCTACTAAAATCGTACTTGATAAATCGCACTCAGAAATGCCAAGTTAATGGAACTATTTCAACGGAGCGGTTGATTAAGTGTGGCGTGCCACAAGGCTCTATTTTAGGGCCATTATTCTTTTTATTATATATTAATGACTTGCCTCAGTGTCTAAGCAAAACAAAACCTCGACTGTTTGCTGATGATACAAACCTAACAGCTGTGGGAGAATCTGTAAATGATGTTGAAGCTGCAATGAATTCTGATTTAGAAAACCTTAGGAAATGGTTAATTGCCAATAAACTAAGTTTAAATGTGGCCAAAACAGAATTTATATTAATTGGATCTAAACCAATGATAAAAAGTATCTCAAATAGACTAATAGACAACCAAACATTATCATAGAAAACAAACCAATTAAACAAGTATATGATTGCAAAACTCTTGGAGTGACTGTTGACCAGCATTTGTCTTGGAAGAATAATACTGAAATTAAACAATTTGCAAGAAAATAACATCCGGGATATCAGCTCTTCGTCAAATAAAAGAATTTGTTGAGAAAGATACACTTGTCTCTGTGTATAATTCTATTGTTCGCCCATACTTTACATATTGCTGTGAAGTATGGGATGTGTTTGGTGAAACACAATCAAAACGCCTCCAAAAGCTCCAAAACAGAGCTGCTCGAATCATAATGAATATGAGCAATGATGTAGATCATCTGGTTGCTTTAGATGCTTTAGACTGGAAGCCACTTAAAACGGAAAGAATAAAGGCTAAGTCCAAACTGATGTTTAAATTGTTGAATAAAATGGGTCCTAAATCACTTACTGATTTATTACACTGACCTGAAAGGTCAAGTGTCTTAAATCCCTAATTTTCTGTTTTCTGTTTTCGTCGAGAAATGGAGTTTGCGTTAGCGCATCGCAGGCTCAGGGTGCAACAATTAATCCAAAATGCCATCGATTCAAATGCCATTCGATTCCTCGACTGCTTGATTCAGTTTTCATAGTAACAAGGTCCGTATTTATGTACGTAGTAGCCGGCTCATGCCATGCTTGTGGTACATCTTTCTTTATTAGCCCATACACTTGTACGCACGCGCACAATTACCAGTTCCAGACCTCGAGCTCATGACTCCCTATATCCATCAGAGGCCATGTGCAGTTATAGATAACGTTTGTATTTGTGAGTAATACTTGTGTTTCATTGGGCATTACGAAAACATCTGCTGAGAATCACGCCACGCTTTTAGCATTTCACCGTTTCTTTGTAATATTGTACGGGATTTGTACCCCGCGAATTTATACAATAGAATGGAATATAAACAAGGACAAGTTAAAGTTTTCACAGTTTGACTACAAAATATTGTATGCGCAGAGTAGAATTGTATACTCAATGTGTTTGTATCATATGCAATACACATATAGTCATTCGCGCATCCGTAATGTACAGTCAATGGCGCGACATCCGTGATGGGTCCAAAGTTAATAAACCTGCTACTGATCGACTTAAGACGTTTTACCCTCAGACAATACATCTATACAAAACGCGAAAACATTTACTTGCTACTGATAACTACAAGAAACATACATCTTATTGTGTTACTGAAGATTTGTTGCGTCAAACAATAACATTACTTTTAACTTCGATGCGAATTTTAATACAAGTAAGGTGTGGTATCATATTTCATAATATAATGAACAATGTAAACTAGCCCTACATTTCGTCGAACATACTTCGGCCCCTTTGGACATACCTTTTTCGTAATAGTATTAATGGCATCAGAATCCAAAACACTATTTATAGTGTTATAATTTTCAAGCTTGTGTCTTACTTCAGATTTTCATCTTTTATTTCGGTATTTACAGAATATTTATATTTTTAGCGCGTCCCATAGAACGTACATCTAAACAACGCGCTGTTTAAATGGTAGGGGTCTAAAATTCGACTTAAGATGTTTTACCTTCAAACTGCACTTCCTCGGAAGTTGACTGGTTGTGGTTTTTTCGTGCAACGTCTCTGGAAATGCAATATCTGGATCGCTGAGTTTTTCGAATTTTATACGTTTAATATACGGACTCACGGAATGTAAACAATGTTGTCTGTGTTAGCGCATCGCATGCTCAGAGCTAAACCATGTGCATTCGGGGATAACGTTTGTATTTGTGAGTAATACTTGTGTGTTTATCGGGCATTACGAAAACATCTCCTGAGGATCACGGCACGCCTTTAGCCGAGCTTTTAGCCTTTCACGCTTTGCCTCTGCGGTTCACGTCTTGTATTCTTGTCTATTGCACCGTAGCTCGTATGTCGTCATTTTATGAGGTTATGCAATAACAAAGGTTAACAGTTAGGGAACCAAGTCTCATTACGTCGGCACATCATGTGACCAAAAGGGGGCCGGGCGAGTATGTAATAAGAGGTTGGCCGCGCATTGGTGGTATTAGTAATCATTGTGCGTTGGAAGCGTAGTAAACGTATTAGGAACAAAGATTTTTTTTCTCTCCTGTTCTTTTATATTTCCACCAATTGTTAATTGGTGTGAAGGTGTTAGCCCTGCGGGGGTGGTCTGCTCAAGATACCACTGGCATGGATCTTAACCCGAGTCCAAGTAACAGTACAATCTCGTTCCCCGAACCTGCGATCCTCGGGAAGGAACGCGAGGCTCTGGGATAATCCGTTTCAGGGAGGAATCTGATTGGCCATTGAAATGGAATGCGTAGTTCAATCTTAGCCAGGATTCTTGGCTTCCGGTAACGGATTATCCCAGAGCCTTCGATTCCTTCCCGAGGATCGCAGGCTCGGGGAACGAGATTGGTAACAGTAATACCAGTAGTCGTTCCAGGCCACCCCTCGGTCACCCGGGCTAACACCTCATCATCCAAACGGGTAAGTATGGTGAACGAAGGTGTTAACAGGTCAGTGTGAACGCCTGAGCAAGCGTCTTGTTTACTTTCAAAAGTGAAATGACAAATTATAAACTTCGAGATGTGGAAAGTACTCTTTGCTTACCACAGCCGCGTACAAATAGCTTGAAAAAAAGTTTCATGTTTGACGGGGCACACATTTGGAATTCTTTACCAACCGAAATTAGAGAGAGCAACTCCATCATGTCCTTTGAAACTAAAATCGCTACTCACATTTTTGAAAACTCACATTTTTGAATAGCATTATTATTCTTATACTTATATAATTATGTATATATATATATATATATATATATATATATATATATATATATATATATATATATATATATATATATATATATATATATATATATATATTACTGTATGTAATATCTTACTATATACTATATCTTTGTAATTTTATTATTGTACACGCCCCTTGTGGAAATCAGCCTAGGTTGACAATGGTTAGCGTGTTTAAATAAAAGTTTCTATCTATCTTCTATCTAGTAATACTTGTATTTAAATTCGCGCAGTAATCAAATTTGCGCAGACCGGCGATAGGAGCCATAGGCGCAAGAAATTACAACATGTGCGCAAAATAATCTGTGCGAAAAATGTTTGCTGCCGTGGCATGCACATAAGACAATTGGCCGCTTTACAAATTATTTTATACGACATTAGTGTTTAGTCGTGGGTTTCTAGATCATGCGGGAAACATAGTTATACAGTACTATATATCGCTTTTGTGGTCGTAATGATTGCTGAAATCATGAGTGCACAAAGGTCGCAAAGTGTCGAGTATGTTATGTTTATCAAATGGCATGTGAAGCGGCGTCTTTTGACTGCAGCGATCGAAATTTGATCAGTTATTAACTTCATAATGATCAAAATAGGGTTTATTCGTTAGTATACATCGGCGTATAAAACATATCTGTTTGTTCAAACTAAACTTTGCGTTTAATAGCGAAGCATACTTACTCTGCGCCATAGCAAATTCCATAATAGGGATAAAACATTGACGTTGGGCTAAAGCAAATTAATTAATTGTGATACGTATGTGCAATGGTAAGTTTTGATTCTGTTACTAAAAATTTGCGAACAAATTATAGAGTCAAAAAATTGACCCTCGACATTTTTTTCGACCCTCGACATTTTTTTCGACCCTCGACATTCTACCCTCGCCCTCGACCTATTACCCTCGACCCTCGACCATTAGTCAAACTCCTTTCCAGAAGGCATTTCAAAATATTAAGTTACAGTCCATAAATATTATGCTGTTAATTTAAAACAAGAATCAAAGTCACAGTCCAAGCCATAAATTTTATATTTTCTGAACCCCGCTTTTCTCCTGGGCGAAATTGTTTGGAGGAAGGGAAGTTCACCGCGTCCTATTTTTTCATGGCAATGTTTTTCTCTAATCAATCACACCACTGAATGTAATTTTCGCTTGAAGGCAGACCACCGGCTTTACATCTTCAAAAAGTGGTAGAGAAACTTTGAATTCCATACCCTTTTGAGACGCTCAGAATATTTAATATTGCTAACATTGCTTTTAATTAGAATAGTTTTGAATGTTTGTCCCACAATTACTAGAAAAAAATCCCAACAAAATTTAGAATTTCCAAAATATCATATTATATTTAAAATATCAGGACACTTTTGGAGAGCCCCCCTCATAGGCGTATCGGCCGAGGGAGCCCGGGAGTGGCAGGCCCCAAAACATTTTATGGTCCGGCAATTGAGCAGAAATCCATATGTCATTCGGGCAAAACATGTAACTCTCATCAACATTGATAAGAAGAACCGCGGTCTACAATAAATAATTAAAGATAATAACGCCAATATTAATTAGTTACACCTGCATATGAGTGATGATGGCTTACGGCAAAGATTATGAAGATTGCATAAACATTGAACATTGTTCTTAGTTTTTGTCTTAGTATTTCTAGACATTTCGGTTAAACTTCTGCTAAAGCAGTCTTTACACAATCACACTCATTTGTTTATAAAACAAATGAGTGTGCCCTCCTTGCTTGTGCCCCCCACGAACCCCAATAGATAAACGGAAAGTAAGGGGTATTTTTCTGTGCGTTTTTTCTTTCTTTTATTTTAAATACAAGTATAGTTGGCACAAATTTTAGAGCAATTTAGATGCTCAGAATACAGGAAATAGCATTTCTTGGCATCAAATTTCAAAATTGTTTTCGGGAGTATGCTCCCACACACGTGGTCTTCGGCCATTGCTATCCTCCTCTAATAAGTAATGATAAATTATGGTTAATATTTTTTTACTTTTTATTGCGTTGTTTCCTTCTTTTATTTCAAATAGAAGTATAGTTAGCATAAATTTTAGAGCAATTTGGGTGCTCAGAATATAGTAAATGGCATTTCCGGGCTTCAAATAAAAAATCGTCTAGGGATTCATGATCATCCGTGGTATTTCGGACACATGGCTATCCCCGACTAATATACTATCTCCATAGATATAGGATTATCTCACGGAAAGGTTTCTTTTCAACAAATCCCTCCCCCCCCCCCGAGAAAATCTTTAAAAAAGGTCCTGACAAAATCTCGAACAAAGTTGAATATGTGTACTGTATAGTTCTATAGCGATCGGGCAAACTAATACTGTCCCTCCCTTCCAAACAAGACTAGGCCCGTACGCCCATGGCCCTTCTTGTTAACATTCCAGGACTACGCCACTGATTTTAGGTAGTAATATTCCTATGAGTCTGAAGCGTATTATTATTGGCACTACCTACACTGGCACAGACGGTTCAAGATAGCTATTATTCACCCCATGGCTCTAGTGAAAGGTTGTGGGGAAGAGCAGAACTTCATATTGAGTTGTTCGAAACCCTACATTTCGAGCGATAACCCAATACCCCCCCCCCCCCAATTCTGGATTCCTCAGTATATTTCAATCATCATTGATGCTATCGTTTTTTATAGGCAAGAATGATGCATGTCGACCTTGCAGAATAGCCCGACGTTATACTGGAAGCGACGAAAGCAAATCTCCCCAAAACATCCATTCAGATAAACTGTTAAAATTAATTGGGCAAGGAAGGGGACAGGATAACCATTTTAAAGTGGAACTAAAAATGGCTGATAACAACGATGACAACGACGATGGTGCCAAGTTAGGAGAGAGCGAGGCAGTGAAATTAGTTGGCGGATCTCAAGTAGGAACGCCATTGGCCAATGTGAAATTAGTCAAGGAGCTATTGCAGTCTGGAACCGCTTTAAATTCGGATGCAAACAATCAAGTACCTTTGATAGCAAACGATCAAAGTTTATTACAAAAGAGTCCACCGTTAGTACAGACCACAATGATACAACCACAACAGCTTGTACAACAACAATTACTACAGCAACAGCAACAACAACAACAATATCAAAAACAACAACAACAGAACCTCAACAGCATTTTACCACAACTAACTTCATCAGAAATGCCACTTAGTGGCAACCAGAAACTTACACCACCACTGCTTAAAAGTGCTTCGATAAATCCATCTTTAACAAATGAAGATGCGTCAACTGAAAGTCTCTTAACTCTTCCGTCCGTAGCCTTCAACCCTTCCTCATTAAGCCAAGCTCTGTTGGGAACTGAAAAAGTTCAGCGACAACAGGCTGGAAAAGCGGAAAACGTGCATAGGCTTAGCCTGGAGAATGGGCCTGGACCAAGTTCACCTCTGTTTGGCGCCCTGTCAACACTTCCGGTTCAAGATTCGTACTCCACCAATAAAATTGCTTCTTCCCACGAAAACGCAGGATTGACGTCATCACGTCCGTTAGTGTCACCTCCGGTCGCAGACGTTTTCAAGGCAACCCAGTTCCAGTCCCCCATGGAGCTGTCTCAGTTTCAATTCCCCATGGATCTTGACTCTCCAGCTCGAAAGACCAACTGGTTTGGTTTCCCGCCGGCAGGTGTGGCCAATAAAAAGTCGCCTTTCGAAGAATACAAGTATGATTTCAACGATAAAGAAGGTAATTTGAAAGATATAGTTCTTTTACCCAGAGGAGTAAGGGACTACCTGCCTAAAATTTAGATGATTTAGACAATTAACCACCTACAGGGACGTTGTCTCTTGGGGATGTGGGGTGTGTAACCTCTCCCCTCTCTGGTCAAAGTTGCAGATCAAACTTGGCAAAAGTTTGTTAAAGTTTGGGAACAAAATTGGTAAAATTTGGTCAAAGTTTGAAATAAGACACCGTCGACAACATACTTGGACGAAAATTTTTTAGGAGTTGGTCAAAATTCTATAGGAAAATTTGGTTAAAACAAGACGACATCCCTATCCTCCCCGCTCACTCCAAAATGTTGACGCCTTCGCGACGTCTCTGACAACCTAACAAACGAAACTGATTCCTCGAAAATGTTAACTTTTGTGCTTTAGCTGAAGTAGAAAACATGTCCTTGGGGGCAGTGGCTTGTTTTATCAATGTTGTAATAGGTATCAATGTACGTACATCATAATGTGCATAAGAAGCCATCATAAAATTAAATTTTGTGTGATTAGAGTAGCATAAGGCGGACCAAACTGCCTTGTCTGTTCAAGGAAGGTTTGAATTTGGAAATGAGAATTAGTATGACTTTAAAATTCGTTCATCTTATAAGAGGAAACGTCAATTTATAAATAAATATTTTGTAAATTTTAATTTCGTGGTGATTCTTTTACGCACACTATGTTGGGCTTAATAAGATCACGATTTCCGACTGATTCATCTTTCACAACTATTTTCAGACATTATTCTTTATTTTCAGGACCATTTGTAATGGCATGCAAGGATCTTTCGGATGAATGCGGTTCCTACGCGACCGAGGGAGGTTGTGACGATTTCGCTCCACTCTCGTCAATCGGAGAGATAAAGACAATGTGTAAGAAGTCATGTGGATTTTGTGGATCGTAAGTACTTGATTATGAATTGAAAGCTTATGCCTCGCGTGGCGGTCAGCTTTAGCCATACATTTTCATCCCACGCGTTCAGAAAAGTACTTAGTAGCAACGTCGTTGATTTTAACCAAAATCACGCCATTTTAACCAAAATCACGTGAAGAAACTACGGGTTTTCATTGGCTCACACGTAAAAATCTCACATCTTGTAACAAGTCTGCCAACAAGCCGTCAACAAGATGTATTCGCACTGCTTGTTACAAGTTGTCAACAGGTTTGGAACAACTTGTTGACAACTTGTAACAACCTTGTCGAAATTATCAGACTTGTTGCAAGGTTGTTCTTGCAAGTCCGTTACATGCTTGATATAACAAGATTATTACAACCTTGTGTTGACAACCTTGTAACATCCTTGTTACATCATGGCTGTAACAAACTTGTTGGCACAGTCTTGTAAGTTGTAACAAGGCTGATAATGCCATCAAGCTTCTTACAAGTTGTTAACAGCTTGTTCCAAACTTGTTACCACAAACTGGGAACAAGCAGTGCGAACACAACTTGTTGACAGCTTGTGCACAGACTTGTAACAACTTGTTTGCGGAGTTGTTACAACCTGGCGTTTTTACGCGTGTAGTTAATTCAAGCTGCTCAGCACAACCACAACATACTCTATTGTTGAAATTTTTCCTCGCGGGGTGAATGTTTTTCTCAAGACCTTGAGAGGTTAAATCCACAAGAAAACTATCGCCACGCAAGAAAAACGTGCTGAGGTAGTTCCACACGAGGCGTTAGCTCAGCACGTACAGCATTTTTTGTGTGCGGCAGGCTTTGAGCACCTATTATGTATCAACATACAAACCTACAAATAACTCATTGCTTTGAACTCTTTAGAAACACGGATATAGGTCACAAAAAGTCACTACCCAAGCAGAAACGTACTGGTTACAGGATTGTTACGACGATTATGGGGAAAAAGCAACGTCAGTAAAGTGCGACATATCCCAGTTGCTAAGGTAGTTCAATTACAAATATGAATACAATTGGTTTTATTCATAAATTACCAATAACAGAAAAACGGCACGTTATGAAAGCGAACCTCTCGTAGACAAATTGATGCGCTCAACATAGACATATCAAAATGTGGATTACAGAATGTAAAGTGGGATGGAGTTGGTAAATCATATTTGCGATGGTTAAAAAAGTATCTGCTTAATGACTATAGTATAAACCTACTAGTAGGCTATCATGTATCGTGCGTTCTGATTGACTACACTACTTGAGTAGGCTATATAACAAACATACTTGCAGGGAGGTGAGTCCCAGGATTGGACCCACCGACGGTGGCCGGAAGTTTCCCGAAAATGAACACATTCTGCGAAAACAATGCCAAGATTTATATAAACCTGCCCGTGCCGAACAAATACTAGCGGCTAAATCGAAAAATGCACATTTCAGTGTTTCCACATTGCAGGAAATTTCCTGATTGCAGGAAATTTTACTATCGAAAAGGAAAAATTCAGGATAAAGGAAAATTCAGGAAATCTGCCAAAATTCGAGAAATCTAAGGAAATTCTTCAAAAAGATGTTGACTTATATATTTTAATAAGTGCTAAACTACTAGTTCGTTTGCATTTATGAACAAATTAGCAGAAATCACGTCCTCTTTGTTGTCATGATCATATATGGTGTATACATGCCCTAAAATTGTGCTCTTCGATCATGCAATACAAGAACATGAGCGTATCACCAGGTTGCAACTGTTAGAGTTCACCGTGTTAGGGTTCCGAGTAAATAAAGAAATTGGTACTTTTGTTGCCCTCTCTCCTCTGGAGAGTCTTACATGACGTTTCCAGAGAGAGGAAAGTGCTCCTTCAATCTTCCCGTCACTCACTTTGCTCCATAGGAAACTTTATGTAAGTTGTGTCTAAAAGCTGTTTTCCAATAAAACAAAAAGTCTCTGTGAAGGAGAGAGTTTGTTGCCTTAATTAAACTGAAAAGAACTAGCAAAAAAATTTTCAAAAATATGAGGAATTTTTCAGGAAAAATCCAGGTTATTTGTAGGAAATTTCAGGAAATTTTACACAGAGAACAGGAATTCTTGTAATTTCATTGTGGAAACACTGGCACATTTGCCCAACGCCATCTTGAATTCCGCGCAATGACCTGGGTCTCAGTTATGATGTCATAGTATCTATCATGAATGATGTAATCAAAACAAACGTATTCGCGGGAAAATGAAAATATTGGATTCTGATTGGATAATTGTCGCTCGCACATGCCTAAATACTAAATTGTTATGTATATAAATAAAGCTAGTTTAGAACAGCAAAAATCACAATAAATATCACTTTTGATGTTTTTAAATCATAAATAATCATATTATAATGACTTCTTTTAGCTTTTGATTTCATATAAAGGAAAATAAACCGATCGAAAATACAAAATAACAGCATTTCGCGTATCGACATTTTTTACAGTAATTTGTATGCATTAATCGACACTTAGTCTCTGGCACACAAATTTACTTTCGTATAGTGAGCACATAGTTGTGTGCACGATAGATGGAAATTCCGAAAATGCTCTTCGATTCTGCATGAAATTCTGTATCAACAGCCCTGGTTTTCCTTTTTCATTCAAAAACTGAACCGAGATATTCGCCCTTTGATACTCTAAAACTCGAGTCTTTACCCTACTATAGGAATTTGTGTACAGAGTAGTTGGAAAATCGGAGAACACCATTGAATTCGCCATAAAAATCTGCATCTTTTCATAGTAAATATCTCTAGTCAATTTAATAAAGAAAACTTTTTATCGCGTGTTTACTTCCCAGCTGATAATAGAAATGAACTACGGATGTAGACAAGGGATACAGGAGCACTTTAATGGATAACCATTTTACTAATTCATTATTATCATAAGATAACCACGGATGTACCCAGTTAATAATGATTCAAGATGGCGTCGGGCAAATGTGCATTCCTCGATTTAGCCGCATGTCGAACAAATTTCGGCGGCCATCTTTCTTCTCTTCCACTTTCAATACAGAATATTCCATTTTCATCAAACAAAATAAAATATATAATAATTATAAAGCAATTAAAAACAGTTAATTTATTTTTTATTTAAATCTTCGTCTGAAATTTGTTCAAATCGCTTCATAATGGCAGCCGCCGAAACATCGATCTCGAACCCACCTCCTAAACTTACGTCAGCAGGTGGGTTCGAGATTGAACGCACCTCCTCGTAGCCAATAGGAAAGCCGCTAATACGCTAGGTACGAGATAATTAATACCCTCCCTGAGTCGCATAATTTAGCACCCAAAATCTGGGTGCCACGTGACCAGCCTGTGTCAGGGTTTTCGCTGCAGTGGGTTTGGGGGGATAGCGGAAGTCAAAACCCTGAGTATCAGGTTGGATCATTAATTGTATTGCAGTACAATTAATTAAATAATTGTACTCCTCTCAGCCAATCAGCATCCAGTAATTTTGTCATGCTAATAATAAATTGTTTACATTTAGTATTTTATATTTGTATTCAAGGTGCAAGAGAAGAAAAATAGCCAAGGTTTCATATAAATCTTGGCAATGTTTGCGCAGAATGTGTGCATTTTTTCTTTTCAAGAATAAGAGAATGTTATAGAAATTTTTTATCTTGAATTTAAGCCGTATTCATAAACTTAAAAGTTTGTTTGTTTGCGTAGTATGCATAGATATCTTATATACACTAGATATAGACATATAGTGCATCTAATCATTCTGCAATTCAAAACTCGAAGCCGTGATTGCAGAGTCACCCAAATGAGAAGATTCGTA